CCCCCCCCCAGCCCCTTCCTCCCTCAGGCCCAGGAGGCCAGACTCGCAGCCCCTCGTCCCTTGGGCCCCAGGTCTAGCAGGACCTCGGCCCTGGGTCACTGTCTCTACTCTGCCCTGCAGAGATGCCCGGCAAACAGTCAGATGAGGAACAGGTGGAGACGGGGGCTGCGGAGAACTTGGCCGAGGAGGACCTAGGGGGTCTCACGGCAGAGGAGCTCCGGCAGGGCCAGGAGGCAGCCCTGGAGCTAGAGGACATGATGGCGCTAAGTGCCCAGACCCTGGTCCGAGCCGAGGTGGACGAGCTTTACCAGCAAGTGCGTCCCCTGGGCCAGGGCCGCTTCGGCCGGGTCCTGCTGGTCACCCATCGCCAGAAAGGTACCAGGGCCTGGAGACAGATACTGGAGGGGCAGAGGGTGGCGGACTGGGCCCCGGCAGAAGCTAGCCGAGGCCGGGGAGTCCGTAAACATGAACCAAGCGTTGCCTCTGCCCCTTCCGGGCTGTGTGTTCTTGGGAAGTTCCCTACCCTCTCTGAGCCTCGGCCTCCTCCTTCGGAAATGCGGGTGATGATTCCTTCTCTGGAAAGACTGTGTTTTTCTCTGAGCGTATGTCGATGGCTCGAGTTGCCGGTAAGAAAGGGGAGCAAGACAGAGTCCCTCCCTCTGGCGCTCACATGTGGCCAGCTTAGCGGTCGCCATGGGGATGATGCGGACTCATGCCGTCTGCCAGGTACTTAGCAAGGCTGGTGCACAGTGGGCCTGCAGGGCACACTGCCCCCACCCCCCGTCTGTTACCTTTCTGCCAGTGTGAACACATCCTCTGTCCTTCCCCTGAAACAGGGACGGTATGGATGGACTCGGAGTCGGTGTCAATTCGGGCTTCCAAGGCCACCTTGGGGGCTCTGCCCTGTCCTGGGTGGTTGCTGCCTGGAAGCCAGAGATCAGTCTGAGTCAGCCCTGCCTTCAAGGAGGAGCTCCAGGATGGGTAGGGACAGAGACAGTACTGGCGTGCTTGGGCGGCCCAGACAAGGCCCCACTGACTAGGGCGGCTGAAAACATAGGGATTTGTTTGCTCACAGCTGTGGGGGCCGGAAGTCCGAGACCCTGGTGTGGGCAGACTCAGTCTCCTCCGAGGCCTCTCTCCTTGGCTTGCACACGGCCCGTCTTCTCCCAGTGTCCTCACATGTGCGTGTCTGTGTCCAGCTTCCTCCTTTTATAGGGACGCCAGTCGAGGTGGACTGTGACCTCATTTTACCTCTTCAAGACCCTATCTCCAAATACAGTTATGTTCTGTGAAACTGGGAGTGAGGACCCCGACGTCAGGATTTGGGGAGGGGGGGTGCACGGTTCAGCCCACGACGGAGAGACAGGCAGACAGAGATGCAGACGTGAGTCGTCGCAGAACGTCGAGGCACCGGCAGTCATGGGGACACGGGGGGCGGGCACTGCTTCATTCGACCTTCTGGGTGCCCGCCCCACGCTGGGAGGCAGTGGGGGCATCGAGGTAGAGACCCAGAGCCCCTGAGGGCTCACAGCGCAGAGCGAGCGCAGAGGGACGGGTGCCATCAAAATAGAAGGTGGCATGTGCCATGATGGCGGGAATCCAGGGTACTTGCGGACGGTCAGAAAAGGCGCCGCTGCATCCGGCTGGGGGGTGGGAAGAGAATGGTCAGCGTTTTAGGTGAGGAGGTGACCCCTCTCCATCACGCACGGCCTCCTGATGCAGGAGGCTGGGCCCTCACGGCTGCTGGGGAATCAAAAAATGGAAGTCACCAGAGTTCCTGCCTTCGGGGAACTTCGCTCCAGGAAATGGCTTGCATGGGTGACAACCTCCTTAGGATTCCTCCTTGATCAGATCGATTCCCGGGTGCAGGACGTCTTTTCTCCCATCGCCTTCGACGTGGCTTTTGTGCCCGGGGTTTTGTTGGGATGAGGGGCTTTGCAAACTAGGTCATGTGAGGTTCTGAGTTTGGTCTACGGGGCTCCCCTCCGTCCGCTCTGAGACAGCGGGGCAGAAGCTCACCGAATGCCTGCATTATTACGGTCATTACCGCTGGCAGGGTTTTCGTGGCCATCTGGGGTGGGCAGGGTAGGGAGGCAGAGATTGGAAGACACGGCGACGGCATGCGGGGACAAGTCTGGGCTGAGGGGCTGGCAAGGTGACCCTGGGCTCTCACACTCCTTCCACACCTGTCTCTGCTGCCCCCAGGCACTACCCTGGCCCTGAAGGAACTCCCAAAGGCCTCCACGTCTCTCCGCGGCTTCCTGTATGAGTTCTGCGTGGGCCTCTCGCTGGGCACACATTCGGCCATAGTAGCGACCTACGGCATCGGCATCGAGTCCGCCACCTCCTACAGCTTCCTGACGGAGCCTGTCCTGTGTGGGGACCTCATCACCTTCATCCAGCCCAAGGTGGGTAGGTAGACCCCGAGCAGGCCTCCGAGGGTGTCCCTCTGGGGCTCAGGAGTGCGCTCACCGAATTGGGCTTCACCCAGCCTCACTGTAGCCCCCGAGGCCCCTCATGGGGCCTCCCTGGAGGAGAGAGAACCGACACTATCCCCCACTGAGATTCACCGGCCCTCATGGACTCACCCCAGGCCTCACTGGGTTTCACTGAGCCTCATGGGGGTCACAGGAGCCCTCACGGGGTCACACTAGGCCCCCCTGGGCCCATCGGGGTCACACGCTAGGCCTCACCGTGCCAGACTTATCTGAGGTCGTGCATTCTCCGGGGCGTCCCTGGGGCTGGGGAGACGCTCCCCCGGGGTTGGCCGGGGCGGGGCTGGGCGGGGCGGGGTGGAGGGCCCTGACTCTGGTCCCCCGCAGGTGGGCCTCCCGCAGCCTGCCGTACAGCGCTGCGCGGCTCAGCTGGCCTCAGCCCTGGAGCACATCCACTCCCGCGGCCTGGTGTACCGGGACGTCAAGCCCGAGAACGTGCTGGTGTGCGACCCTGCCTGCCAGCGGGTCAAACTGACCGACTTCGGCCACACGCGGCCCCGCGGGACCCTGCTGCGCCTGACCGGGCCGCCCATCCCTTACACGGCCCCCGAGCTCTGCTGCCCCCCGCCCCTACCCGAGGGCCTGCCCATCCAGCCTGCCCTGGATGCCTGGGCGCTGGGGGTCCTGCTCTTCTGCCTCCTCACCGGCTACTTCCCCTGGGACCAGCCCCTGGCGGAGGCCGACCCCTTCTACGACGACTTCCTCATCTGGCAGGCGTCCGGCCAGCCCCAGGACCGTCCGCAGCCCTGGTTCGGCCTGACGCCGGCGGCGGACAGTCTCCTGTGGGGGCTGCTGGATCCTCGCCCCCGCAAGAGGAGCCCCGTGGGCTCCATCCAGGACTACCTGGGGCGTCCCTGGAGGCAGCGGGAGGGGGAGGCTGAGGAGGTGGATGAGGGGGACGGACAGGAGGATGGAGAGCGAGCGGGCACAGCCTGAGCCCACCTTCCTGCAGAGACTCTGGAAGGGAGCCGGATGGGCCCCACATCCTGAGGTCTCCTCCGCCTTCACGGGGTGGCTTGTGGCTTCCCTCTCAGCCTTCCTTTCCTCCCGCATGGGCATTCCGTGTCCCTTGCGTGGCCTGGGGGGCCTCCGTGTCACCGTCGCCATCTGCCCCGTGGTCTCCTGGCTCATTTCCTCACCTCCCGCTCCTCAGTGAAGCCCCCCACCCCCCACCGGGCAGCCGCATGTCTTCACTCTCTGGCCCCCTTCCCTCTGTGACATACACGTGGGTCTGTGTCCTGCTGGGGGACAGGGGTCCAGCCTGTCCTGGGGGGTCCCCCACGTAGCTGTCGCTGTCCTGGTCCATAGCAAGGGGCCGGGGAATGCGTGTACAATAAACGAACCCGTCTGGTTTGTGTCCCTGTCTTCCTGCCCCGTCTTTCTCTCCTCCCAGGCTGGGCTTCACTTACTCCCACTGCCCTGTTCTTCTGCCTGCACGCCAGGCTGTCGCCCTCCTGATAATGTGTCCTCTCTTCTCTCACCCAACTTCATCTGGCACCTAGGTTTCCATGATGCTGTTGGTCTGTCACCTTGGGAAAGAGAAGGGCAATGCACATGCTGGACCGTGTTGTCAGGAAGAGAGAGAGAGAGAGAGGGAGGGAGAGACGGAAAGAATGGCAGAAAACGGTCCCGTGTGGCCGTGCTGCGTGCCAGAGGCCAGCCACACGCATGTCTGTGAGTGAGCCTGCTTCTGCAAGGACCTGTGTGTGAGCAGAGGCACTGAGCGTCAGAGCCATCCGTGGATAGGAGCCTGAGCTGGCCTGGAGCGTGGCCGTGAGCGTCTGAGCCCGTGGGGGGTTGCGGGGGGGGGAGACGGTGAGGGCATGACTGTGTCTCTGTGGATGATGTGATTGTGTTGCGTGTGTCGGAGCGTCTGAGCCTGTGTGTGAGGGGACTGGGTGGAAGTTTGCACGCACCTTGCTCCGTGCGTGTGGACGTCGGGCCTGTTTGTGTGTCTGCGAGACCTTGAGTATGTGTGTGTGCAGCAGGAGGAAAGTCACCCAGGCGCCACTGCCAGTCACCGGCCGGGCCCCTCTCTCCTTCACACCTTCCCCCCTCCACCCAGGCCCCTTCTTGGCAGCTGCCCTGTTTGCAAACACTCTGTCTTCCTCTCCTCACCCTCTTTGGCCACCAGCCCAGAGCAAGGCTACAACTCAGAGCTGGATCGTGTGTCACTCTCTCCCAGGCCCTCACCACCCCCTCCAGTGCCCCTGCTGTGGCCTCAAGGCGCTACAGGGGCAGGGGGTGGGGTTTGGGGTGACCCCCAAAGCCCTTCAATCTAGGTTCAATCCAGAGGACTAGGGACATGGCCCCTGTCCCAGGCAAC